CATTGGTTCGATATATATAAATATATATATGTTATTAAACATTGGTTACATATATATATAAATATATATGTTATTAAACATTGGTTCGATACATATAAATATATATATGTTATTAAACATTGGTTCGATATATATAAATACATATATATATGTTATTAAACATTGGTTACATATATATAAATATATATATATGTTATTAAACATTGGTTACATATATATATAAATATATATATGTTTATTAAACCCTGGTTAGATATATGACTACATGTGACGTAACGAGGCCTTGGCGGTCACGTGATATATTTCTTGTTTCAGTACATCTCGTCTCTTTTAAACAGCGGTACTCCACCAGAAGGTGTAGCTAGCTGCTAACTGTAGCTTCTGGAGCTAACTAGCGCTTTACTCTGTTTGGATCGGACTACCAGTGAAGCACCATGGACGGCAGGAGCTACGGTTCAGGTGACTACAACACTTTTACCTGTGCTGTACATGCCGTCACCACGAACACATTTATTTATTAGCTTCCCAGTTAGCCACAGTATGCTATCTGTTAGCATGCTAGTAGCAACACACGCTTTGTTACCGCGAAACGCAGCCCCAGTATATTAGCTGTTAGCATGCTAGTAGCAACAACCCATAGCTTATGTAGCTTTGAAACAAAGACGCGTTAGCTACCTGTCAGGTGGCTAATATTTCATACAACTACTGCTATGATATTTATTAATATAATGTAAATAAAGCCATTTCTGAACAAACCGGGGAAATAAAACCGTTTACGACATATCAGGCCTAGCTAACATTACCGTAAAGTAGCTAAAGTTAGCCACTAGCTATCAAGGCTGTTTGTATGCTAACGTTGCTAAGCTAACGCAGGAGGCCCATTGTTGGGCTGTTTGTAGATAGTTTATACTTTGTAGTTCGTGTTTACTGCTTTGATAAAGTTAGCTCGTTAATTCTGGTAAAATGGAGTCTGTGGGAGAAAAACTCTTTTTATTAAGGATGGGTAAAATGGCCGCTTTCATAAACCAGAACAACAGACCCGTGGTCTGACATTACTACACTTCTCATATTATTCTATTTTATTGTACATATTTAATGTTTTACTGTTATTTTATTGCTTTACCTGTATCTATAAATAGCTAAAACATGTCCCCTCAGGGATTAAAAATAACACCAAAACATATTGAATATAAAGACGCACAATGAAATAGAATAATATTAAAATGAGCTAACTAAACAATAGTGCAAAGACTTAACCAAACACACAACAGAGTGACGTGTTACCGTCGTAATCGGATACCTAAAGAGCAATGTGAAGAACACAAAGACACAATGAGACTATTGTGAGCAACTAAAATCCTTCCAACAAAGAAATCTACTTTTTTATTGCTTCAATTGCAAAGAATTCTGAAATGCAAAAAAACAAGCTAATACATTGAATGAGGTATAAACTAAGACATACATTATGATGATGAGTATGATTGGAGACTCCTCCGTGTGCTGTTTGTCTGTTTGAGTTTAATATCTTTTATCGTCTCTCTGGTTGCAGGTTACTCCAGTTGGGGGGGCGGCGGGTCAGGCAGCAGAGGTGAGAGAGTGAATATACTGAAACGCACTGTATACCACTACAATATACGATGTACTATACTTCATATCATGGAGAATACCACGAGGCACTGGTGGTAGTATTCTCTTATATATTTAATCGTTTGTTGTTGTATTTTACTTTCATTTTATTTTATGTATTTACGTCTTTACTCGTACTGCTTTTCTTCTGTTCATACAGTATTTATATTTTTATCTTCTTGTCTTTTATTATCTGTCTGATCTTTGATCAAACTCTGGATTCATAAAGTTTCATCTTAATATAGATGTTTCAACCTCGTGTGATTCCTCACCAGGTTCTGGTGGCTTTGACCTGTATGGGGGGGGTTACAAGGACTCCATGTCTGGTCTCGGGGGCTATGGAGGAGGAGGAGGCGGCGGCGGCGGAGGAGGCGGTGGCGGAGGCCACATGAAGAGAGGGCTATCCGGAGCCTCCCTGCTCTCGTCCACCGGCACCAACGCCGATGCCGTCATTGCCAAAATTAACCAGCGCCTGGACATGCTGACTCAGCTGGAGGGGGGGCTGAAGGGGACTCGAGGTGACAGGTAATGATAACGTCTTTATTCTATGCTTCATACGTCATGCAGCACCATATCACCACCACACGTACATGGTTTCCTTTTCCTGTAGTGTCTTTCATGTTCTATAACAAAACATCTTATCTTAATAATTAACCGTTAACCAACGACGAGAAGCCTGGTTCAACCAGGTTTAACCAGCTTGAACCAGGCAGACACACAGCTGCCACACTCGGCTAAACTGGGAGACTTACTGGGAAAGTGGCTGCATGTGTCCAGGACAACATGGTGGCTGCTAACTGGGGACGTGGTTGTTGTGTTTTTTTGCTCAAACACGTTTGTGTACGTCCTCCGTACATAAACGAAGCTTCAGGCTCTAATCCTGTCGGTTAAAGGGTTATCATCGCCCAACGAGGGTCGACTATCGGTCAGTAAAACCTAAACTAGCATGCCTAACATGTCAGCTGGTTGGTCGGGAACATTTGTCTCTTGAATGCCGCTGCTCACCAGTTTCTATGTTGCTTCTTTTTGAGTTAAAAATAACTGAAAACAGACCTCAGTGACGCAAAAAGGCGCAGAGGCCGTCGATTGGTTAACAGGCCCGAAGAAGAACTAAGTTCTGTAAAATACAAAGTCAACATCACGCCGGTGTGGTTGGTGTTGGTGTGAGACGCTTTGAGGGCTTCACAGTCTCCTCGTTGCACATGAAGCCAGTCCATCTCTACCTTCTGTTTCTCTCTCATCATCCTCCATGTGACCCCCCCCCCGGCTCCCCCTCCCCCGCCTTCATGTGCAACGAGGAGACTGTGAAGCCCTCAAAGCGTCTCACAC